TCTCACCTTTAAGAGGGCTGTATGATCTACAACCCTAGCGATGATTTATCTAATCACCATCATGGGATAAGTGATGCAAATATGCCACTGCTTCCAAAAGAAGGAAGGTGGTTGGAGTGCCCTCCAAGAAGAAGCCACCATAGAGCTTATTCCCCAGACATGTGGTAATAAAAACTAGTCCAAAATCTTCCACAAAGACTCTTTGGAAGGTCACCTAGAATAAAAAGGGTCTACAGTAAGAATATTGTAATGTTTTTTAGAAATCTGCCTATAGCAAAATTCTTTTTTTAATGTTTATTTATTTTTGTGAGAGAGACAGACAGACAGACAGACAGATATCTCTGGATATAGCATCAGACTCCAAAGGTTAAGTGTTCAGTCCCACAAGGCTGCCCCTCAGATGCCAATCTCAAGCCCCAGGCTGTTACCTGTGCCTCTGATCTACCAGCTAAAGACTGGAAGTTCCACTGACCTCCTCAGATTTGATTAATTTTCTAGAGCAGCTCACAGAACTCAGGGAAACACTAACATTTACCATTTTATTAAAGGATGTGATAAAGCATAGGAGTCAGTAGCCAGTTGAAGGGATACATAGGGTAAGGTCCAAAAGAAAGGAACTTCTATCCTCATGGACCTTGAGGCCTGGCTTGGTAGCACATGGAAGCCTTCTGGTTCCCCAAGCATGGAAGCTCTGAAAAAGAACTAAAAAAGTTTTTGAGGCATTATTACATTGTCATGATTTAACTAAGTCGTGGGCCGTTCAGCTGATTCTACTTCTAGCCCCTCTCCCCTCTCTGGAGGTTTTAGGGTGGGGATAATGGCAGTTCCAACCCTCTAATCACATGGTTGGTCCTCTTGGCTATCAGCCCCACCCTTGGGTGGGGTCGAAAAGTCACCTTCATTAATAACAAGACACTCATTTCACCTTTATGGTTCTGAAGCATTTTCAGGAATCTGAGAAATATATTTTGGTTATCTGAATGACTATATATACATTTCTTATAAATAATTATATCACACAAAGCCTCTTATGAACCCTCCCTCACGAGGTGTAAAGTGAAAATGACTAGCACTTGGTAGTTCCCAGCAGTTTTCAGAGCACATGAAGGCAACTGTATGGATTATCCATGGACAGAAACAAAACAAATACAACAGAAAACAAATAAATCCACAATCCACATCTGGCCACTCAATGCAGAATTCCAGAGCTCCGTAAGAAAAGGATCTGTACAGTTTGTTACTTCCCCTGTTTAATGAAAGGAGTCCCACTCTCCATTCTTCCTGAGGGCTCTTCTAAGCACCACCCCATTCCTTCTATCCTGGTGCTCCTTGGTCATTGTAACCCTCTCTGGCCTCCCAGGCCTGGAGCCTACCATTGGCTGACATGGCCAGCTTGCCAAGAAGGAAATGCTGTCACCAGGAAACCACTGAGCCTGAGGCCCCAGCTCATAGACTAGTGCTCTCTTGAGCCCCTCAAATTCCTGTGGGGGTGCACCATGGCAACCCTCTGAGCAAAGGCTTTTAAAGCACCTCATGTTTCACTTTGTAAAAGGTCTCATTTGGCCAGGCACACATCATTGCTTCTGACATTGCAGTCTAAGCAGGCATTTTTACTTCTGTTTCCCCAGTATGAACATGCAGGATCAAATAAACAGACTGTTCCTTTTCTCAGGGACAGAATGGTGTAGTGGTGAAGTGCAAGGGCTCTGCAGACTTGCTGTCCATCCTGGCCATGTCCCTTCTTGACTGTCACCCTGGCCAAGTTACTTGATTCCCACATGCTTCCATATTCTGCTCTGCAATATGGGGATCATAGGAGTACCTACTTCACAGGGTTCTTACCAGGATTAAATGAGCTGGCATGTGACAATGCTTAGAATAGTGCCAGGCACACAAAGTCTACACAAAGTAAAGGTAGCTATCGCCCTTATTCCTGGGAGCACCTTCTTCTTAAAGAAAAGGAAATACAGTGACAATGTTGTAGAAGTGAGATCTAGGTATAGAGGCAAAGGCCTTGCCTGGAAAATTCAGGATACAAGATATTTTGGAGGAAAAGGATAAGGTTGGAGTTCTCATCTAGAGAAGCTGTGTGACACTTTAGTCCTCAGGGGCACTGCTGACTGGGCCTGCCTGGTCAGGGTCCAGAATAGGCTGGTGCAGAGTCCTGGGAAGCAACACAATTTCAGTGTGACTTCCAAAAATGACTGCTCTGAGGGTCAGGCGAGGAGGGAGGAAGACACAGGGTGAGGAGATGGGTATTGTTTTTTCTATCTGCGCTTGACACTCCCCCTTTCACACAAAGAATTGTGACAGGGCACTTTGCCCTTTGAATCACCTTGGCAACCTGAATTCTTTTGCTGTTCTAGGAAATTATAAACAAAATAAATATATTGAACTGACGTTCTTTGCTTCTGTTTTCTCCCTCAAATGGTACTTTTTAAAAAGGTGTGCATGTTGGGGGTGGGGTGCTCTTGATTGTTTTAAATGTATTTTAGACTCCTTCAAAATATGTTTAAGTAACATCAGGTGAAGGAATCTTAGAAAAGTTGATAAAGCAGGCACAGAAGCTTGGATGTGTTCAGTGTAAACAACTTCTGGTAACAGGCATGCCATAGAACTTCATCAATTGATCCAAATAAGGTAAAAGTTGTTGTAGACAAAGGAAGGATGGAAGGAGCAAGAGGATATAAGAGGGAAGATGAGAGGAAGAGAAGGAAGAAGCTTGAGGGTAGGAACCACTTTATGGGCCTGTGACCAGTATAGCCAAAGCGGGTCCCATGCTCAAAAGGGATCCTTGTGCTTGGGGTATAATGCTCTGTGGCCGCCATCTGAAAATTTTCATTAATTTTATCTTTCAATTTTTGTTTTGTAAGTGAAGTCAGAAAGGACAATGGTACCATGGCTCACACAGTACTGCTTCCCCACCTCTCTAGGACAAACTCTCAGCCTCCTGGCAAGGGATCTGGACACAGACCTGAGGAGGGTCAGGATCAAGCATGTGCCAGGTTATAAGAGGAAGGCCCAGGCACCTGTGAGGGTTTGCTCTAGTAGTAAGACTCTCCAGCCCAAAGGAGCACAATAATAAATAGCAAATAAAAATCACTGTGCCATGTCAAGAAAGACACCAAGAAGAAAGGACTGAGCTTCTTTCCTGCCATATCAACAGGGGACTCCACATTTTCATTTTGCCCTGAGCCTCACACATTATGTATCTGGCCCTGGTTGCAGCATTTAACACCGACTCAGCTCTCTTCCTGCACCTCAGAGTTGAGAGTTGTGAGGACCCCTGGCCCTCGTCCTGCAAGAGGTTGTAGAACTCATGTCAGCTGCCCTCTCTCATACAGTGGAAGCACATTTCCAGGGTTCACAGTGTAATTGCCCATTGTGAGCCAGCAACAAGCTGAGTAATGGGAAATCCGGAGAGCCGAGAATGCAGAGACAAGGGAGGGAAAGGAAGAGCAAAGGTGAAATGAATGAGTGCTGTTCCATGGAATTGTGCAAGCTGACTCCAGCCGTGGGGTCAAATAAACAGGATAACACAGCGCGAAGAAGACCAACAGGAAATTTTACACTGAAAAATGTATCAGGAGGTAGCTGTTGAACAGCATTTGAAGTATATCAAAATTGCAGCTTTTTAAAAATCCAACTCTATTTCTTGCCCAGGTCTCTGACCCTAGCTTGTGGTCCAGCTCTGGGCTTCCAGAACTATACCTTGCTCCTCTATTTCCTTAACCTGCTCTTAATCCTCCTAGGGACCTCCATTCTACCCATAAGCCCTAGTGCATGGAGTTACAGTGTCTTTCTGTGGACTCAATCAGAAAATTAAAATGCTAATGAATTATTTGGATTGTTTTATAATCTTTCCAGAGATATCAGGAGGATCTGAAGGATTAGAGTTTCTATTGTATGATATAAAATGAGAATCTCTTTCATTGGCCAATGAAAATTTATTGTCATTTGAAATTGTAAATGCTCATGCAGTTTTTTTTTTTTCAGGTCAATGAAAGGTATTCAACACCAGTAATATGCACAGATTTTACTTACCTATTTGTGCAAGCTGAGGAGATATAGGACACTATCAAGGAAGACTTGGTAACTTTTAAGACTTGGACGGGCTACTTAAAAAAGTGTAGAATAGCCTCCTTTCAAAGATAGGATGAAAAGTTTATTATAGATCTACACAGAGATGGACCCAATTTAGATGGTTGCCTGAAGTTCTTTCTTTCTCATATTTGTTGATTTCTTATTGACTAACTACTTAATTATGATCCATTTACTTTCACCAAGGATTTTTGGAGATTAAATTTCATGCAGTTTGTAGCAATCTGATCATTACTGGATCATCTTGGTCATCATTTTGCCACCAGTGAGTACTCATCCTGGTCATTTTGTTAACATTAAAATTCACTCTGGGGTACCTGGGTGGTTCAGTCAGTTAAGGTCCAGTCTCGGCCCAGGTCATGATCTCAGGGTTCGTGGGTTTGAGCCCCTCGTTGGGCTCTGTGCTGACAATGTGGAGCCTGCTTCGGATTCTCTGCCTCCCTCTCTGCCTCCCCTCTCTTTTTCTCTCTCTCTCAAAAATGAATAAACATTAAAAAAATCATTGTTTAAACATTTTTTTGACTCTTCTGGTTTCTCAGGGGCCAACCTCTGCCCTAGGTGGGGAAAAAAAAAACAACAAATAGATTTGATGAACCAGTTGTTGTCTAGGTAACCCCCCCCCAGCATGTCAGTCACACCTGTATTTAATTTAAGTCCTTGTTAGTTGGCTAATGATGGAAGACAATTTAGCTCTTATGGGAAACAAAAATCCTTCCAGTGACAAGAGGCAAGTGGGAGTTTGTTGGAGGGTTTGTTAAAATGTGTTTACTCCCCTTTTTAGTTTTCCTTTCCTTTCTTTTTCTTTTTGCATTTTTTTCTTTGTATTTTATCTTAACATTCATAGACCGGGAAGAGCACTGGATGATACATAATGAGCTTCCTTTGACTCTCTCCTCCAGAGTGGAAATAGAATTCTGTGTTCCATCATCCTGAGCCACCACCAGGGTCCATCCATAATCAACTACGATGATGAGAGTGGGAAGACATGTGTGCACATCGCCGCAGCAGCAGGCTTCAGCGACATTATTAACGAACTGGCGAGAGTGCCTGAGTGCAACCTGCAGGCTCTGGATGTGGACGACAGGTATTGGTAGCAACTCAAAGTGTTGGGAACTAACAGCCATCTTCTCTTTATCTTAAAATAAAGAACATGGTTAAGGGGTTATCCTATATGACTATATCCTTGACTGCCAGTAATATTCACACATGTGCTTGTGACAATAAAAACTGCTCTATTTTAGTCAGGGCAGGAAAAATCATTGTTATGGAAAGAAATGCTGTGACTGTACAGTATTGTCAGACTTTCCACTTTTTGCTAAATGTTCTCAGAAGGCTTTCTGTATGTCAGCTTCCTGCTATATATGCACTTTTTATTTCTTAACAGTAAGTCTTATTTTTTTCATCATTCCTGGATTATGTCATAAAGTCTATAAGTTCTTGTTATCCAGACAAGAGCATAAGAGAAGTTTTGTATTCAGAACTAGATGTGACATTTTTCAGGTTTTTCTTTTTTTCCCAACCATTAAAAATACATTGGCAAGGAAAAAGAAGCCTGGATCCAGAAAGGGGAAGAGACTTATCCCAGAGGTTGTTAGCAATGAAAGAAGACTTGTACCCTCCTCTTCTAAACGAAGAACTTTTCATCCATAATCAACTATTAGAGCTTTTCAATTACACTGCTTATCTAATCTTGGTTTGGTTAGGCATTGATTCAATGGAAATACAAGAATAATATAACAACAAACAAGACTATTGAAAATAAGTAAAAGGCTTACATGCTATGTATGGGTTTTTTGCCCTCTTCTGTTGAAGTGCAAAATTAGCCACCTACTTATCTTAACTTCAGGTAAATACCAAGAAGCACCTCCTACTCTGCTATATCTGAAATTCTTATAACACCTGGGAAAAATTCTTAGGTTGCACATGAGTCTCAGGACTTGGAGATGGTTAACATGATGACTTTAATTAAAATTGAAGTGTAGATCATTGAAAGTAGACCTTTTCCCAAGGTCAGATATTGATCTTGAGCAGGTAAGACAGTAACAGGACTGAAGTTACATGAAGAGAAAAGGTTAATGAGCCAAAAAAAAAAAAAAAAAAAAAAAAGAAGAAGAAGAAGAAGAAAGCAACACATTTAAGAAAGGAGGGCTGGAGAAAAGTTTACCGACTTTAAAATACTTTCACAACCAGTTCCAAATAGGATATTTCCCAGTTTGCATTATCATACACTTAGCAAAGGAAATCCAGTTCCCCAAGCCTCAGGGAAGAAAGTAAAACCAAGGTAGGAAAAAAAAGTACAAAAGATAAGATCGTACAAGAGTTCAAAGTGAAGTAAAATCTCCGGGAGAATCTAGTTCCTGCTCCAAAGCTCAACTCACTTGTTGCCAATTGAGGCAAATTGAGGCCAAATTGTTGCCAATTGAGGCCAATAGAGGCCAAATCCTGCCCTCCGTTTTGTTTTGTTTTCTGCAACCTGCAGCTGTACCTTCACACTGAAACTGTGAGCTTGTCTTAGTAGAATTTTTCAGAAGTTTCATAGGTATAAATGCTTTAACCATTTGTAGGAACTGTGACTTCCTTATGCTTCTTCTCCTAGTGGAGAGAAAGTGTTTGAAGCAAAGGGAAGAAAAATAAGGCAGTGGTTTAAAAAAAAGAGAGAGAGGGAATATATGCAGGCACTAGTCCTCCTAGATATTAAAGTACTTTCTAGATCTGTGATATTTATTTATTTTTTAAAAGTTTACTTATTTATTTTAAGAGAGAGAGAGAAAGAGAAAGAGAGAGCAGGGGAAGAGGAGAGAGAGAGAGAGGTGAGAGATAGAGAATCCCAAGCAGGCTCTGTGCTGTCAGCATGGAGCCTGTTTTGGGGCATGGTCTCAGGAACTGTGAGATTATGACTGAAGCCAAAATCAAGAGTGGGAAGCTTAACCATCTGAGCCCCCAGGTGCCCCAGATGTATGATATTTAAAACATGGTGTAATTAGCCTAAGATCCATGGCACAGAACACATAACTCAGAAGTAGCTCATGTAGCATAAATGTCTCAAGTTTCATCAACCTGTGAGGTCATACTTTACTTTAATAACCAACCCATTTATCTTCAGGAAAGACAGTCTTTTATCAAGTTCTCCCTACATGCTTCTGGGAATTCTCTCGGGAATGTTTACATGTCCTATAAATCATTCCTTACTGACATCTCAACCAATGCTGCATGCTTATATCAATCATTTCCTGCTCTTCAGACACTACCTCATCAACCACCTCTAATGAATTTTTTCTGAGTCATGGGCCCTGGCCCTCCACCTTCACATTTTGATAGTTTCAGCTATCACAGTGTAAAGGTGTGTTTGTGTGCTGTGTTTGTCGGAAATTTAGAGATAAGAAAGGAATTACAGGTCAGATAACCTGAAATTGGATACTACAGATTGCCCACAAAGGCTCTGTGTGTATTAGTTAGGAGTTTTCTATATACTCCGTTTCTCTGCAAAATAATTTATGTTTTCCCCTTGTTCTTCCGGATCTCTTTTTCCATGTTGGCAGTCAGAAGAATTAAAACACTCGGTCTTCACAATTGTTGTAAAGAAGTATTTCACACTGCTCCAAAGTGAGTTGTCATGTGTCCGTGAACCTGATGAGATTGATGCCCAACCCTTCATCTATTGAATTTATTGGCAATATATCCTCTAAACAGGATGGCATAATCTGGCTGGAGCCTCATCCTGTTTCATAATAGATATTGTGTGGAGACCTCTCTCAAGTAGAATAGAATCAGTCACATCTGCCACTTATTCAAATAAGCAGGGTGATTGATCACTGTATTGAAAAGAAACACAGTCCTATGACGTGTTCTCAAATTGCGGGAAGTAGTATAACCTGAGGAGGAGGATGCTTGATTGACAGAAGACACAATCCACGCATGGGGATCCTGACCACACTGAGGACAAGACTACTCTCCCAAGTACTAAGGCCCATGCACCTTAATAGATAGCTCCAACTGAGCCCTTCTCTGTCTAGCCCCTTGGCTGCCTCCATGTCTGAGAGACTGCTTGGCCACCCTTCTGCCCAGGGTTCAGGCCCCACCAGAAAGCCAAGAAGTTTTCCATGCCTTCCTTCCCTGCCTCAGGATTGAGCCTTTCCCAGGGCAGTTTAAAAATGACAATATTTTCTCCTAGCCTCCTGCTTTTTTTTTTTTTTACCTAAGAGAATACTGCTTTTATAATTAAATAAAGGCTTAACTATTGAGGAATATGTATCTACCTTCTGGCTGATGAAGGACTTTCTAAGTATAAAATGCTGAAAGAAACAAAAGCAAAGAGATAATTAAATGTGGTTATTTTAATTTTTTATGGAAAATCACTATAAAAATTAAAAGTCAAGTAACAAATTAGAGAAAATGTTTGCAAAAGTAATGATATCTTTAATATATAAGGAGCCTACATAAATTAGTAAGAAAAACTAACAATATAACAGAAAAAAAAAAATGGCCAAAAGGCATTAAGAGTCATTTCAGTCAGAAGACTCAAATGACAAATAAAAATGTATTTCAAAACTTCCACCTCACTATTAAAGAAATGCAAAAGAAAATAACACTGTGGTATCATTTTGCCTACCAAATTGGCAAAGATTTTTAAAGGTGATGATAACACTCAGTTTAGGGAAGGAATAGGGACACAGCTGGTAGGGGGAGAAATTGAGTCAATGTTCTTAGAAGACAGTTTGCACTATGTATAAAGAGCCTTAAAATTGCCCATAGCTTGGGGTCGCCTGCGTGGCACAGTAGGTTAAGCAGCTGGCTTTGGCTCAGGTCATGATCTCACAATTTGTGAGATCGGACTCTGTGCTGACAGCTTGGAGCCTGTTTTGGATTTTGTGTCTCCCTCTCTCTCTGCTCTTCCCCTGCTTGTGCTCGCTCTCTCTCTCTCTCTCTCTCTCAAAAATAAATAAATAAACTTAAAAAAAAATTGCCCATAGCTTTTGATGCACTACTTCCTCTTCTAGGACATCGTCAAGAAGGCCAGAGAAGGGTACAAGGCTCCAGAATGCTTATAGCTGGAGGACAGTTTGCATCATCCTGAAGCCCCATCTGATACTTAACTTACCATTTCCACACTGCAAATAGCCACACATTTTTCGTGCCACACCCAGACTTTAAACAACTGTTGCCAGCTGAGCACCCTGTGCCATTTCTGTGCTCTGACCCTTGTGCCATTCCCATGTGGTCCCCCAGGACACCGCTGCACTGGGCTGCAGCTGCAGGGAAGGCAGACTGTGTGCAGTCACTGCTGGAGCTGGGCATGGACAGCAACCTGCGAGACACCAAGGAGAGCACACCCCTGGCCTACGCCCTGTACTGTGGCCACACAGCCTGTGTCCAACTCCTCTCCCAAGAGAGTAGGTGAGTGCACTGGAGAGGAGAGGCACTCATTGTTTTCTTCCTCTCAAACATTTATGAAATTGGATGAAACTTTTTCGCTTGCCTATGCCCAAATCCAGCTCTAACTTAATATTGTGCTTGCCACCGTCTAATATATCGTGACATGTTCTCTACTCTATGGAGTAAAATTATAGTAGTGAGCCCAAATCCATCACCCTAACATCCACTGGACTTTCATTTCTTCTTTCCTTTTTCTCCCTTTCTTCTTCCCTGCATGCCATGTTCTCTTAATCTTCTTTTTTTCCGTAATCAACAATTCTCAAACTTTTTGTTCTCAGCACCCTTTTCCACTTTCAAAAATTGGGAACCCCGAGGGGTTTTCTTTATGGGAGTTACACCTTTCTGTATTTATAGCACTAAAAACTAAAACTAATTTTTAATAAAATATGTAGTTATTCATTTAAAGCAATAATAACCTCATTACATTTACATGTTGACATAAATACCATATTTGTAGCTAAAAATAACCTTGTTGTCCAAAACCAAAAAAAAGTTGTAATGAGAAGAACAGCAGAGCTTTGCAATGTTTTGCAAATCTCTTAGATATCTTAATAGAAGCATAGTAGAATACAGCTATATTCCCACATCTGTTCCTGTATTCAGTCTCTTGCAATATGTTATTTTGATTGAAGTGTCTGAAAAAAATCTGGCTTTGCATAAATATGCAGTTGGAGAAGGGAATATTTCAGTAGCATTTTCAGATATTGTGGATACTTTTCCTTTGCTATTACATCCAAACTTGACAAATGTTAGTTACAACGTGAACTATTGGCATATCGATGAACTTTTTATACTCTGTTGTGTTAAAATCCATTAGTCTGTCTTGCACTTTAAATGGGTCTTATACCCATACAGGATATTATAATATCTTGCTTTGGTCATTTGGAAAATATTGGTTCACTTAATTAGGAATATCATCCAGATGACACGTTGCATTATACAATATTAAAAAATCACATTTGTTAATATCACCACTGATCTTATTGGAAGAGCCTTTATGTATCAGGAAGCTGTCAAGCTTACAGTATGCACACAAGTTTTTCAAAATTCTAATTTTTGCTTGAAAACTGGACCTTTGTCATTGGCAGTAATTGCTGTCAGTTGTTTACCTTGAAATTACAGGCTTATTTTATTCATTTTTTTTTTTTTTTTTAAACGTTTACTTTTGGGACAGAGAGAGAGACAGACATGAGCAGGGGAGGGGCAGAGAGAGGGAGACACAGAGGTGGAAACAGGCTCAGGCTCACTGGCCATCAGCCCAGACCAGCCTTGGGGGGCTCAAACTCACGGACAGCAGATGTCGGATGCAACCTGGCTGGTCGGACTAAAGCTTGCCCGTATCACGCCACCCAGAAAGCATATTTTATTCATTTTTGAGAAGCTTTCTGAAAATACCCAATTGCAAATAACCATAGTTTGTCTGTAGGTCATAAAAATGGTGTTCTGTGAAAAAACAGTATCTAGGTTAGCTGGCAACTCAAACAATTATACAAGTGCTTTACCTCAAGACAACCGTCATATTTTGTTATATAGTTGAATTGCTTATGGGTACTTCCTGTTTTGTCAAAAAGTGTATACTGAAAGGTCATTTTTAAAATTTTTTTTAATGTTTATTTTATTTTTGAGAGAGGGAGAGAGAAAGAGTGAGTGGGGGAGGGACAGAGAGAGAGGGAGACACAGAATCCGAAGCAGGCTCCAGGCTGTGAGCTGTCAGCACAGAGTCCAACCTGGGGCTTGAACTCACGCAGACAGAGAGATCCATGACCCTGAGCGTCAGAGACCCCAACTGATCCATCCAGACACCCCGCAAAGGTCAATATTTAATAAAATTAATAACTTTTAACAGACATTAATAAGTTAAATGACAATTTTTTAACATAAGTCCATTGATGATACTGTCTTGATTTGTATCCAGGAGCCCATACTTTGACCCACTATCTCTATTGTACAAAAGCACATGAATATTGTACAAAAGCAACTAAAGACTGTTGGGGACCCCACCACAGGGTTTAGGGGACCACACTTTAAGACCCCACTGGCCTAAATCACAATCTATAACCGAAGGAGGAAAGATTATAGAAGATACTAAAGTAGCATTAATTTGCACAGGGCTATATTCTATTGAGGTCAACTTGGAAGAATGTTAGAGATCCCCTGAGGTAATATTAGGGGTCTAGAAGGGGTATTCAATAGTTCACAAAGCCTATTGGAAGGTGAAAGAATGAAGATAAAAATACATCGTGGAAATAAAGATTCAATTACACACTGTGTGACCTGTAAAGAAAAACACTAATTATATACAGTCAAGTGGTGATGTTTTTCAAATTACAAATTACAGTATCTCACTCTGAAGAGTAATGTTGCAATCTGGCTTTTAGGGCACACACATGGGTCAGATTTCATCATTAACTTGTACCACAGAAAGCACTAAGTCAATTGTGGCCTCAAAAGAGAGTAACAGAATTTTCCAAGCAAGAAAAACAGAATCGTGCCTCAGGGAAACTGTCCACATAAGAGGAGCCCATCAGACAACTGCTGACCTTTTTTTCTTTAGAATTTGCCTGCCCATTGGGCATTGCTCACTTTTCTTCTGCTGCCACACCCGATCTCTGGGACAAACACTTCCTCCTGGGCAGCTAAAGCCTAGACTAAAGCTTCTTCCCTCAGTTTCCTTTTTTAAAAAGTATTTTCCAATAGGAAATTTAGTAAAAACTGAAAGGGAAACAAAGAACATTCAAATAGCATAAAACGGGCAGGCCTCCTGAGGTAGGTAATGTCTGAGCTATGCCTAGATCTTATGAGATCTCTTTCAGAGAAAACCTGAAACCACATTTCCCCTGCCTCTACAAGCTCCCCTTGCCTCTACCACTTGAAGCCTGAACTCACCCTTAGCCTTCATCTCTGTGACTTAAAACTTATACCCCTACTGACTGTGCTTGAGAAGTGAGAACAGTAATGCTTTAAGCTATTTTCAACTTAGTTTATCCCTTGGTGAAAATAGATGATCTAGAGGTAGATTTTGAAAGGACAGTTCCTGAGGGACTAAGAGGACTCTAAGAAATAGTCTAACTATGGCAAGGAGTGGAGTAACAAAGGGTTTTGCGAGTTCTTCCACCTGACCTTTGACTTGAAAATGCTTTGGGGTGTCCTTGGATTACCTAAGACAACCTTCTCAAGCAGATGAAATAGAGGGAGGCAGTGTTTGGTTGGGGGATTGTGACCACTTCCTAGCTTCTTACAGAGTCCTTGTTATTTTACATTCCCATAGAACAGAGCCTACTCGACCCTTTCCTTCCCAGAGCAGTAGACCCCAGAAGAAGGAGGGACGATTCAGCATGCTCAACCAAATCTTCTGCAAAAACAAAAAAGAAGAGCAGAAAGCCTATCAGAAGGATCACAGCAGGGATCGACACAGGGGGGAGCACACCTCGGAAGTCGATGACATCATCACCACCTTTGACGGCATCGTGGATACCAACTGCCAAGAAGGGCCAGGCGATCAGGTGGCTATGATTGACCTTAGGAAGCGGACCTCAGAGAATTCAAAATATCTCTTGCCAGAAAAGAAGCCTCTGGGCCCCAAGGGGCTTCCACCAATCAGAACGCAGAGTCTCCCACCCATCACCGTGGGCAGTCACTTCCTGACAGCTTCCCAGGGGGCCACTTCCCATACTGGCCTGAGCTCTGGTAGTCATCATATGGCCCAGCGATCTCAGAAAAGCCGCAGTGAGCAGGACTTACTGCATAACAGAACTGGTTGCCAAGCGTTGCTAGATAACCCCTGGAGAGGTGATTCTAACCAGGTGTTCTGTAAGGCTGGGACTGTGTCTTCTTCTGATAAACTGCTGGACAGATTGCTCACCAGTGGCTCTGGTCACCAGGAGGTCTTTGGGCTGCCACATCTTCCTCATCTACATAATCCTTCATCAGGTATTACCCTTGCTTCCCTCTTCCTCATTCCTGGCAGGCTCTCTCCAAGAAATGTTTCCTATAGTTCTGGGCTAGGAACTGGGGTGACAGTAGCCTAGAAGGCAGGGCCAGAACAAAATGGATGATTAAGGCCAACATTTTTCCTTGAGTCTCCTGGACTCAAGATCTCTAGGCTATTGAAACATTCTGCTTTTCCACCCTGAGGGCAATCATCAAGTTAAAGTATGTGCCTTCTTATATTCCCAGCAGATATGTGTAGTGATTGGAAGATTAAAGCAGAAATATTACTATTTCCAGTAGCTAAGATTCTTAACCAGAGATAGTGGCAATATCAATTATGAGGGGTTGATTTGTTTGTGTGATGGCTTGCTTTTAAATCAGGTGTTCAATCCCTACTTCAGACCTACAGAAGCAAAATTTTGGTGAGGGAGGAGAGGAAATGGCAATACCTTCTAGGTAACATTCACACATTAATGGTTCAAGTTTCCACACATACCAAAGGCTTACATTGTAATTCTCCCTGCTGTCTATTCCCCAAACCAACCAATGCCACTTATCCAAAGCTACTAATATTATTTGTTGTTTATTCTTCCAGAGATATTTTATACACGTGTATACACACACACACACACACACACACACACACACAAAATAGGTATAAGTAAGTATATATCCCCCTTTAAATAAGTATATCACACTAAAGAATTTGGTTTTATACACATATAAGCAATATATATATATATATATTTTTTTTTAATGGTCCACAGGTGATTCTGATGCACACTAGAGAAAGAGAAACATTGTTTTAAAGCAGAGGCTGCAAAACAGCTTCCAAAATTAGTTCATTGCCACAGAATCTTGTTTTGTTTTCAAGTGAATTAATTGCCAATATTTAAAAATCATCAAGTATTATATAAAAAATAGAAAATTCTAGCCTTTTCTGAAAAATTAAAAAGCCTGGCAACACTGAACCCAAATTCCACTTGGTAATAATAGGCCAGATATGAATACCCACTGTCCCCTTGAACACCAGCTAGACATCACTGTCCCCAGTTCAACCCAGTCCACAACAGTCTCTAGTATCTCTCCAAGGAGTGTCAGATTTTCTTCATTAATGTGTCTCTGTTGTTTTTCTCATAGTAGGGTTAAGAGAAAAAAATGATGTATCTTGAACCTGCATTTCTGTCAAACATAGAAGAATGAAAGACTGAGAGGGCTATGTGTATTGTAAGAAGTGGAGGAGGGATGAGGCACCTGGGTGGCTCAGTCAGTTGAACATCTGACTCTTGGTTTCGGCTCAGGTCATGATCTCACAGTTTGTGGGTTTGAACTCTGTGTCGGGCTCTAAACTGACAGCTTGGGATTCTCTTTCTCCCTCTCTCTCTCTGCCTCTCCCCCACTCACACTCACTCTTCACTTTCCTTCTCTCTCTGAAAATAAAGAAATAAAATCTTTTAAAAAAAGAAATGGAGGAATATATATATTTGGAAATAAGAAATATTCCTTCCTAAAAAAAAAAAGAAAGAAATATTCCTTCCTGTTTAATATGCAGCATGAGCCTGGCTCTCTTCCCTCATTTATGTGTGCCTGGTCTGGTGTCTGAAACAGGTAGAGGTAGAGTATGACTCCCCTCATAGATATTTACATGTATGTGTGAGAAACAGACATCCTGGTGTCTGAGAAAAACTCCACGCAACATTTTACTTCCTCCACAAAGCACTAAAGTATGTGGTTAGTGCCATAGGTAATGTTTTTGCTTTTGTTCTACAGAAGGATCAGGAAGGAAAGATATTAGTCTTCTTTTGATACTTTAGTGGTCTCCAGGGCCTCAACCCGTCCTCCTTTCTGGAGTTGGTCCTGTCCTGGCTAATATCTCCTCTTTTGAAAATCTTTTGAAATTTGTGAAAATCTCGTTCTTTTTCTGTTCCCAAGAGAGACTGTCTTTTTCTATCAGTTAGGAATGGGCTCAGCCGCCTGTAAAAGAAACCAAAGTAACAATGGCTTAAACAACATAGAAATGTATTGCTCTCATAGGAAACAAGTCTGAAGTAGGTAGTTCCCAGGTGTTTGGTAGCTCCATGATCACCAAAAACCTAGGCTCCTTCCTCCTGGGTGCTCCACAGCTTACCGTATGACTTCCATTCTTCAGGTTATTTCACGGTCCATTAAGGCTAACAGAGAAGGAGGAAAGAAACAGAGAGAAGGGAAACATGGATTTTCCCAGCTGAATCAGCTCTTGTTAAGACATCATTGCCCTTAAGTCCACACATCTGTTTACATCTCATTGGCCAGAACTTTAATCACATGGTCACGCCTATTGGCACGGGAGAGTGGGAATTGCAGTCTTTTATCTCAGCATGCGGCTGTCCCTCAAAAGTTGCATTTTTGTTTCTAAGAGAGAAGAGAGATTTGATAGTGGATAAAGAACTAGTAGATTATGGCATTTGTACTATCTAAAAGTTTCTGTATTATTGGAAATAAAATGAAATTCAATAAACTTGGTTTGAAAATTAGCTTCATTTGCCAGTGAAGTGACTTGAAAAGTCCTGGAGTGGCAGAATAGTAGAAAAGAAGCAAAATTCTCCAAGAGAATCTTAAATAATTAGCTGTGGCTACATCAAAGCATTTATTTTTTAACCAATGTTTTTAAGTTTATTTATTTTTGAGAGAGAGGGAGACAGAGTGAAATCAGGGGAGGGGCAGAGAGAGAGAGGGAGACACAGAATCTGAAGCAGGCACCAGGCTCTGAGCTGTCAGCATAGAGCCCAACGCAGGGGTCACACTCACAAACCGGGAGATCATGACCTGAGCCGAAGTCAGATGCTTCACTGACTGAGCCACCCAGGTGCCCCTGCAACCAAAGTTTTTAAGCACTGGTAATAGCTAGGAGCCATTCTAGGCAACTGAGTTGTGGTAAGATAAATCTCCCAAGAATCTTCAGCCTATAAATGAGTTTTAAAAGATATGGATTTGCTAAAATGATTATGGAACTGACTTCAAGGTACTTTTCTTATCATGTTTAGTTACAAGATCATAGGGTTTTGAAATGGAAAGGACCTTATTCATTAAATGGTTAGAGGGTCTGCCATTCTAATTTGTCAAGAGGTGGACTACTACAAGGGCTAAGACATCTGGGTTCAAATTCTGGTTCTGTCACTTAGGTGCTGTTACTTAATCTCTCTGGGCTTTTGTTTCTTCACCTGAAAAATATGGGAGGAAATACCTAACCATACCTAACTATAGCGTTGTGAGTTGCTGTTAAATTAAAAGAGGTGATACAGGTAAAATACTTAGAACAGTGATTTGAACAAAGTGTTATACCCACACGAACGTATTTGGTTTTTTAAAACTATGTGCCAGGCCCTATACTAAGCACTATGGTTTAGTTACAAGCTAGGAATCACCTTGTTTTAAAGATGATGAAACTTAAGTAAATGTGCTAGTCAACTGCCTGATTGCCCTCACGTCTAGTTTTTCCCTCCAGCCCTATTCTGTCTCTCAGGGAATGACACTTCCCAAGTTCCCTTGCAGCTGCTCCCAGGTACTTTTGGCCAAGTATCAGGAGGCACTGGCAGATGAAGAAGAGCAGAAGAAGGAGGGAAAACAGTGTAGTTGTCCACAATGGCCCTGTGCTTTTTCTGGAAGCTCCCACAGTTGTTCCATCTCCTTCATGCTCCCTCCACACAGCTGCTCACTCTGTAGCTCTGGCCCCCACTAGCTTTAACACCATCCTTTCCCCTTATCTCTCCAGCCTAGAGATGGTTGCTTTTTTTTTTTTTTTTTTTTTTTTTTTTTTTTTTTTTTTTTTTTTTTTTTGCAGTGGCTGATCTCTGGATTGTCCTCTACCCTCTCTTCTGTTTGGCTTCTTAGTTTTTCTAACACCAATAGAAACAAGTTTCTGTATGAAATTCCCTCTGTTCCAAAAACCAAGAGAGGTCTCTTTTTTCCTGGGTGAGCCCCAACTGATAAAACAAGACATATCTCTCTGAGCCACAGTTTCTTACTCACCCAGAGGCTGGGACCATTATACCTCATCAGGCTCTTTTCAGTTATAATTCACATGGCCTAGAAAAGTTAAAACAGTTTGCTCCAAGTTTTACAACTAATTGATGACATAATCTGTACTTGAACCCAGATCTCCAAAATAGGAAGGTATCACCATGGCAATGTATTTCTCTGAAAGTCCAGTTTGGTAGTAAGCTTACCAATTACCCACAGTGTACTTGTCTGAGAAATGACGTTGTCCTCCCCAAAACAAAAAAGATTTTCCTGCCTTACAGATTTTATTTTTGCGGACATTTTTAACTCAGCTTGAAATGTTTTGGCAACTACCGAGGCTCTGGACTACGATTAGGAGGCTCACTTGGGTGGTTTTAGTGTTAGTCTAGGCAGGTTGAAACAGTAGATTTCTACACTGAGCTGCCATATTTGATATGAAAGCCTATCGCTTCTCAGCCTTTTGGCTAAGATCATGTGTGATATGAAAGCCTAATACAGTAAAGTAGTTGGATAATCTAAGTCATACCATTGCACCACTGATTTGAACTTGGATAGTAGCTTTAGCATAGGATTTTCTCTTTTCCTGACCTGGATTTAGTAGAAATAATAAGGGCTAGCTAGCACTGCCACTGTTTGAATTCCTGGCAGCCATTAACCTGTGCTTGCATCAGCAACCCTGAACATTGAGCTGTAATGATTATTGCTTAACATTCATTGAGACCTGTCAGTGGGCTAGATGGAGAGAGATGGGGGGTGAGGCACTTAGCCTAATGAGGAAATTTGGAGCACATCAGCTTAATTCATTGCAAACAGCTTTCAGAGAAAATGGAACAGAAAGCTCTGAGGTGTTTGTTACCAGCCTGGTTATTTACAAGCCATCACACAGAAAGCAAGAAAGCTCTCACTTCCCTTCTCCCTTAAGAGAGAACTTCCTTCTCCCTAATTTTCTAACATATCCTAGCAACAATGCAGCCTCCTCCCTGTGTATGGCTGATCTAGTGATCGCTCGGTTGAAACCCATCACAGGTGCTACATCTTTTCCAGGACAAAAGCCAGATTCTTGAGCTGGTAAACAAAATCCTCCCAGCATGGCAGGGCCTCACTTTCTGTTGTCAGCTTCTGTGACTCACATCTCTAATCCTTTCCCCCATCCCCCTGAACAGTTCCTTGAATATCTCTCAGTTCCCTGACAACCCATACCTTTCACTCTATGACGTCAGTGCCCATGTTATTTTTAGCTTCTGTCCACTGTCGGCTTAACAGACTTGTACAGACTTTTAAGAACCACCTCAAAACTTCTTTGAAACTCACCCTGACCTCTATAGGAAGTGTGGCTCTTTCTTACTGTGAATCATAGAAGAATAGCTCTACCTTGTTGAGCCTCCTGGGGGGCAGATGGCAAACTGAACTGCGTACTTCCCCTTCAATAATACTGCAGAAGAGGAGTCTTTAATCCCTATTCTGGAAATGAGGAAATTGAGGCATAAGAGGTTAGCCCACCGCTCAGTAGGTCACAGAGCTAGGTAGGAAGTGACAGAGCAGACATTCAAGTGAGCTCTGTGGGAGTTAAGACACCTCCACCTGTCTGGACCCCTCTTTTCTGTGTGATGCCCTCACGGCACTGCTCATGGGCTCCAAAAGTATCCGTTAACCTGTTTTTCTTCCAACATACACTGTAATCACCTCCTGAGCATCTTGCCTTCTCCTCTTTGTACTCTAGGCTCAGGAATATGATGAGCACACAACAGAGGAGTGCTGAATTTATTTACTTGTTGAACAAAGGGATTTAGTTGAAAACCTTTTCTGCCTTTGAAGTCTAGGACAGTAGTCCTCAACCCTGTCCCCACAGGCTGGAGGTCCCTTTCAGTGCCTGCAGCACAGATGGACTGCACACAGCTCTACCTCCTCCTTCAAAACTGAGCCAAATGCCAGTGCAGAATGAAGTTGAGCTCTGCTTTCACTTCCCAAATCACTGCCATAACCTGTTTCTGCCCACTTCTCTCATCCTGCCAAAATTGCTTTGGCTGCTAGGGAGGCAGGATAGGTTCTAGGTCAGACAGACCTAAATTGGAGCCCAGCCTCTGTCACTTTCCATTATATGACCTTGAGCACTTTTGAGAACTCCTCCAAGCCACAGTATCCTCAGGGATGATAATAGTATCTATCTTACAAGGGAAAGTGATTGTTAGGATTAAATGAGATTATGCATATAGGATTGAGCCCAGTCCCCGACAATAGCCCAATAAACATTATCCATAATTACCATTATCTCATTTCTTGGTTTTGCAAATTTCTGCTCAATTCATGGATAAATAAGGTATGAGTTGATAAGGGTGCTTACTTACTTACTGTAATTACTCACTATTATTCTACTGAGGAATGTTTTCTTTTTAAATAATAGTTTGTGAAGTTATTTGACCTTTAGGATACAAAGGAATGAAAATATAATATCCACCAGAGAGACTGGAAGTTTTGCTCAGTCTTCATCAAATGGCAGCGCTCAGATTACTGCTCCTATAATATGCCTTTGGACTCACCTAAGCAGATGGACAGTGGATCTTGGCTAATGCTTTTTCTGTTTCCCCTTATCTAAGGACGACTTGGTCCAAACAGAAGAATTAAACCTATGAGCAGTACTGTAGTTGTTCTGATTCTTTCAAGACTACGAGGCAACAAATTAAGTGAATACATTCCCTACTCTCCCAGAGATCGTGTTAAACACACTACAGAATAAAAATGTAATAATTGCTAATGCTTATTGAGTGTTAACCTTGTAAGCTACATGTTTTAATTTGTTCTCCTACTTAATTTTTAGGACAATTGAAAAAAACAGACACAATTATTTTCACCATGTTGTACATAAGGAAATTTTAGAGAGGGAGAATCTCTTGTCCAAGTTGGCAAAAAGTCTAATCCTGTCCCATTTGGTCAACTATGTATAAGGACCTGAATAACTTGGGTATTTTTTCTATTTTCATATATTTAGATCTATCTCCTGTAATCAGTAGTCTGTTGATAAATGTTTAACAGCTGGCTCTCTGGGAGAAAAATCAGTGCTTGCTGATTTTCATGGTATAAATACTTCCACTATGGCCAATGTTGAGCCACCACTGTGATGTCAACCAGCTCACTAAATTCCTAAAATTTTAACCATCGGTTCCCAAGAGCCAGTATACATGGTTCCAGCACAGCACTACTTATGGCCTAAATTAGAGAATAGCAATCTCCCAGGTGACTTCACCCAGATCCATCTTCTAGGTCAGTGACGCTCAATCCTACCACACAATAGAATCCTTTGGGAACCAGTAAAAATCTGATGCCCTATCCTAGTCCCAGAGATTCTTTTTTAATTGATCTGGGATTTGGCTAGGGCAGCAAAACTCCTCAGACAATTCTTATGTGCAGCCAGCATTGAGAAACCCTGGTCTGGAAGAATATCCCCTACTTATCTGTATCATTTAGCACGGATTTGACTGATGGGTTGTACTTTATGCCCTATTTTTTTTTTTCAAGCTTTTAAGTTTTATAGAGTGGGTGGCCAACTGTGCTTGTTTATGAAGTTATATTTAAACTGATTTATTCAAGAAATGATTTCTGATGTTCTTTTCTTTCATTTAAAAAAATTTTTTAAATGTTTTTATTTATTTTTGAGACCGAGAGAGACAGAGCATGAGTGGGGAAGGGGCAGAGAGAGAGGGAGACACAGAATTGGAAGCAGGCTCCAGGCTCTGAGCTGTCAGCACAGAGCCCGACGCAGGGCTCGAACTCACAGACTGTAAGATCGTGACCTGAGCTGAAGTCGGACGCTTAACCAACTGAGCCACCCAGGCACCCCTCTTTTCTTTCATTTAACTAGTGATTGGCATATAATAAAAACCAGTAAGGTGTAGCTACTATTATTTTTGTTGTTATTAGCATCTGTTTTTTAATTTTTTTAAATGTTTATTTATTTTTGAGAGATAGACAAAGCACAAGCAGGGGAGGGGCAGAGAGACAGGGCACAGAATATGAAGCAGGTTCCAGGCTCTGAGCTGTCAGTGCAGAGCCCAATGTGGGTCTCGAACTCACGAACCTTGAGATCATGACCTGATCTGAAGTCAGACACTTAACCGACTAAGCTACCCAGGTGCCCCTGTTGTTATTAGTATCTTAAATTTAGTGATCACTAACAATTTTATGATTATCTTATCCATTGGATTTTACAATTTGCACTTGGTTGCATCTCAAATTATTGATACAATTATGTTTGTCCCCAGGACAAAATTTTCAGCATCTGTCCCCAAACAGACCCCAAATCAGGGATCATCCTTTCACCCGGAACAACCTAGCTCCCTTACCAGACCAAAAATGTAAGTATTATGAATCTTCTTCAGCTACCTTTGCAAGTGTTAACATGTCTAAACACAACTAACTGTTATTTCAGTTTACTTTCATTTTTCAAGGGAACATCAGGTGCCAAAACTTGTAAATTACAGGAAAATAGAATAGAGACAGTTCTTTAAAGCTTCATCCAACTTGGTAATGCTTATTTAAAAAAAAAAAAGAATACTTCCCTCCCTTGAGGAATTTTTATGTTTGGATTATAAAAACAACAACAGAAGTTTATTTTGCTATGTACTATTTAATGTGTTTAAGAAGGTGCTTTAAAAATTCTTAAGATTGGTCTCTTGACATTGGTTTCCCTATTACAATGAACAGATGGAAATATGTATCATCTTTGTACTCAGAGGCTACACATCCCTAAACAGAAAGGAATAATCAAGTAGATGTTGTTCACCTATATAACTCCTGACATTGTTGATCTATTTTATAATATTTTGTACAAAAATTTCTCACAATATAAAATACTAAAAATATTCTATTCAGCCAGTGATCTTCAAGTTTGAGTGTACTTAAGTATTACCTGGGGTACTTGTTATAGAGTAGATTTCTGATCCCCACACCCAGAAATTCTGAATTTGTATATTTTCATATCTATACTATGAGGCAGGTTCTGTTATTATTCCTATTGTACAGATGAGACAACTTGAGTTCAGAAAGGTTGCATGATTTTCCCAACATTATTTAGGTAGTAAGTAGCAGAGCCAGGAGCAAAACTATAGGACTATGAGTCAGCTGCCTCATGAAAACAAGCAATACTCACTGGATTCTAATTTCCTTCCTTCCTTTTCTTTCTATCCCAGCCCACATTTATAACATGTATGCAGACACGCAATGTATTATCTTCCCCATCCCTTGCCATAACCTCTTAATTGCAGAGGTTGAAAGATTTAGGAACTGCCCTGTTCAAACAAGTTTCTTAACCTTCAATTTCCTTCCTTGGCCTGTAAGAGTAGTGCCAGCCTGATAAGGTTGTTGGGAGGGTTACACAAGATAACATATGGAAAATACTGGCAACTATTTGAAAAATTAATATCCAATACATCTTTTCCTGCCCCAGGCTGTAGTTTGGATGGTACCAATCGAGAACTCTAGGATTCCTTAGGTAAAATCAGTAATCCACGGGGTCTTAGTATTATCCTGTCTTTATGCAGATAAGGAAAGGGAGAGGTGGAGATACATGTCCAAATTCACACAGAGTTAGTAGCAGAAACCAAAATGCATTCCTCAGCTTTTTCTGATTTATGTAAAGTGAGAGTTTTGGATGGTGTGAATTCAATCACTGGATGAAATTCAAGCCTGACCTTGTCTTTAAACAGAAATGTACTCACAAAGACATCTAATTAAGTAGCCGGTCAGCCTCGAATCCTGGTGAGGCTTGGAGAAGCCAGAGAGGGGATTTTCTTTGGCAGAGCCCAGGAGCTTTGGCCTTCACAATTAAATTTAAGGAAGGAAGAGAAGATAAAGACTTTGATCAAGTTTAGCTCTGCGAAAAAGAAATGGAAAGCTACACAGTGCTTTTCCTAAAAGAAACCGAGAACCTTTTGAGGCTTGCATAGAAGTGCAGTACAAATGTCTTGGGGCTCATTTAGAGCATTGTGCTGACTTGGCCATCAACAGCTGCTCCACCCCAGGAAAAGAGAGCTCTGCCAGGAACGTACAGCCCAATCATGTTTTGATCAAACTTGGCTCTGTCCTGTATTTGTACATATTTGACATCCCTGATGGCACGTGGTGAGCCTGAATAGATACAGATATACAGCTTTCTCCTGCAGCCAGGCTCTCACCAGACAAGCTTCTTAGAAATGCCTCCACTCCTTAAGACATAACATTGTTTCCCCCCACCATTTCTCCTGAGACTCTCACAGAAGTAAACCCTGAAAGTCTCTCCTTCTATTCTTTCTCCTCAGTTCTATCTGGAGAATCTCTGAGGACAAACCGAGTGCTACCTGCTATTCCAAGCCAACGGGGACACAACACAGCAGGCAAAGAAAGTGAAAACTTTGTCAATCCCACCAATGATGAGAATTAGCTGTGGCTCACTGACTGTAAAAATAGGGATTATATATATTTTCAACTGTCAAGGGATGAGATTACTCTAGTTTGTGAGAACAAAGACTGATTCAGTAAATTGCATTCTAGAAGCCATTCACAGTTTTACAACTCCTTCCTAATGACATTTCCCAAACAAGCACTTGGAATCTTTGATTATATATATATTTTAAGTCTGTGAGTTGCTCTGACCTCTACATGCCAAAACTAAAAGTCAGAATATGTTATCAGCAGGGAAACAGCTATGTTTGGCTTGCACTGTGGTATCAGCAGAGATTTTTTTTTCCTGAACGATTTTATGTTCTAAAAATGTATGCTTTGCTGAATAAAAAAAAAAAAAAAAAAAAAAAAAAAAAAAAAAAAAAAAAAAAAAAGCATATTCCATAGTTTTCTTCACATTCATTGTAACTCTACCCTTGGTTGATGAAACTTAATTAAAATTAAAGTAGCAAATTCCTTTAATCACAGTTTAGTCACAGTTTTTGGCTTTTAAATGTACAAGCTTCTGTAAAATATTTTCTAACATCTGATCCTGGTAACAGCCCAAATCATTTGCCAATGTTTATGTATCTTCTTTGTTATTTGATTATTTCCACCTATTGTCACTTTCAGATGTGATTAATAGTGAGAAGATCATGTGAGTTGGAAGGGTCTACATCCTGGCCTAACAGAATGAAATCGGCACTTCTCATACATTCCTCAAATACTCTATGTATTTAATCATTCTTTTTTATGTTTCAAAATAATGGTCTCTGCCCACTCAAAATGTTTCCAAAGTTATGACTTAGTAAAGTTTGAAAGGCTACTACTAACTGTAGATCTTACTTAAGATGTTTATGTGTTGTTGAGACTGATTTAAATGTCAAGCCCCAGCCATATAAGATTATAGTCATTCCATGTTATTTCTAAGCCCACATGTTATCTGTAAATATCTCAAGTACAATGCTTACCATTTGATATTAGCATTATTTGTTTAGAGAGGTCAGACTATGCCATTAACTAAATAGAAGCTCCTCTGAAGCCAAAACATAGTTCTTTGGCTTTGTGCTTATAGAAGTGTGTACAGTGCCTGGCACATAGTAGGCACTCAGTTTTGTTTTGTTTTTTTCCATAAAAGAAGGAAGGGAAGGAAGTCAGAATGTAGAGGGGGAGGTGGCAAGATCGAGAGATGTAGAAAGTGATAAAAAAGAGGTCATTATTTCCACAATCTCGTTTTGACAATGATAGTAGTCTGAATTAGCGATTATATAAGAAAAAGCCTGTGACCAATCACCCAAGTTAGACAGTAGTTGATAAGGAGGGCAAATCCTGGTGCAAATGGAAGAGCTCCCAGGACATCGATACTGAAGAGTTTTCTATTCTGTTTTGTTTTGTTTGTGGGCTGCATCTTTGAAGAATCATTCTCTGTTAAGTATCAGTTAGGTAGTTCTATTGTGTCACCTGGTTACTTCAGAATCTGTGTTCATCCACAGTAGACATAGTAGACACCTGGCCCTGTCCTGCTTAGCTTAGTCAGCATAGGCTCACCTCTTCTTCAATAATAACACCAAAATCTCATTGGCTGACAATTTTGTTTTCTCATTCACAACACGTGCTCCATACCAGCTGGCAGAGTTGGCTCATGTAGATTCCACTTCAACATGCACCTCCTTGGTGACAAAAACAGCAGAAATGCGATGTGAGTCTTATCACCACCTATCCTATTTCATTTACCAGATCAAGCATATGGACATGTCTAACTCCAAATGGGATAAGGAAATAAAGTCCTCCCATGGGTCAGAAAAGGGGAGAATTGGAATATTTATGAACTATCCAAAAGATTACCACACTAACCAAAGCTCAGTCCCTAAGTGATCATTTAAGTTCTCTTTACCACATGGATAGCTAAGAGGCCAAAACAATTTAAAAAACAAAAACAAAAACAAAACAATACCTGTGTACAGCTATGGAATAAGCCACCACCTCCCAACACATATATACACACATAGCATTCTCTAATGCTAGGCCTTTCTATCGAAGTTGATTTAAGGATCTTTTGCTAGCTATGAAGAAGTAATATGCTTCCCAATACCACCTTTTTAAATAGAGCAGATATCCTTGGGGTTCCTGGGTGTTTCAGTCAGTTAAGCATTGGACTTAAGGCTCAGGTCATGATCTTGCAGTTCATGAATTAGAGGTCCACATCAGGCTTTCTGCTGTCAGCGCAGAACCTGCTTCAGATCCTCTCTCTCTCTCTCTCTCTCTCAAAAATAAATAAAAAAATATAAATAAATCAGTAGAGGAGCTATCGTTTTGCCACCAAGTAAAGTTGCTTGTTTGAGGTAGATTTATCCTCAGCCAATATTTTACTGACCAAATCAGATATTAGGTAGGTATTCACCAACTTGTGCCCAACTTTAAAAATGTTGAGAAAAATTTTTTTTTCTAAAATGACTATTTTCTTGTTTTGCCACTTATATTTCCCTTCATTGCTAAGGACTCATTTATTTACACACATAAACATCATAACTTTGCATACATTATTTCATTGGAATCATTATATCAAATCAACCTATATTGTCCAAGTACAGACAAGGAATCCAAGGCAAAGAAAGAACTAATTTTCCCAAAGTCACACAACTAATGGCAGAACAGGCCTTAGCAGTGAAGTCTTTCTAGTCCCATAGTCCCATACATAATTCCCAAATCATCATTTTCCTGTTCCAGAAATTTCATTGGTGTGATACATCTTTGGCAAAGCTTCCCTTTCTGAATTTACTTATTTAGCTTATATGCTGTACAGGCATAGTGTAGCTAAGGTTAATATTTGTGGAAAGAGCAGACCAATTCAGTAATTTGTGCTAACCAATTACAATTGTTGGAAGCCAGGGTTTCCCCCAATTTTTCCTTTTCTCCTTCAGTAATCACTTGGTTTAACACAGGTGTCCTTTCTCCCAGTAAACACTAAATTCTAATGCTCTTATCTTCATAGAATTCAGCCAATATAAATAGCTTTCTGTGACTCCAGATTATTATCCTTTCTAAGTCTGTTAAATCACAGCTTGATACACAATTTTAGAAAATCTCACTAAGTGACTGGTTAGAAATATTGTGCCTCCTTCCCACAAAGGCAAACATAACCATTGATTTTGCTTTGGCCCTTACTCTTTGAAATTTTCCAATGCATGTCTCTAAGCATCCTGGCATTTTTAAAGTGGTTTTTGAAAAGAACCATTTGGAATCCACCCTAGGGATTAAATGGGGGTAATTAGGAAGGAGCATATTTGACCTTAGCATGATATATAACACTCAAGTTAAAAACTAAATAAGGGGTGCCTGGGTGGCTCAGTCCGTTGAGCGTCTGACTTTAGCTCAGGTCATGATCTCACAGTTTGTGAGTTCAAGCTTCACATCAGGCTCGCTGCTGTCAGCACAGAGCCCACCTTGGATCCTCTGTCCCCAACCTCTCTCTGTCCCTCCCCTGCTCATGCTCTGTCTCTCAAACACACACACAAAATAACAAAACAAACAAAAAACGAAATTAATTAATTAAAAAAAAAAAAAAAACATGGTAGCAGCTCTCACATGTAGTAGCTAGCCTTTCTTATTGCCTTCAGGGAAAATGATGTATTTTTTAAAATGCTTACTATTTGAAAATGATCTTTGAAATCAGGAAATTCAATTCCCTAGACATTGGCATAGAAACATTAATACTGATAGATGAAGACTATCAATAAATGGTATGTTTCTATCAAACTATTATGTTTTCAAAGAAAATGCCTTCTGATTCTGATCTCTATTTTGTCCAATCTTGGTCTTTTAAGCAGATAAGTTCCAAGAAATCCCCAAAGGCCAAATATGAAAAGTCAATGAACGAATTGTATCAAAATCTCAATAGGCATCTGGTGGCTTGGTTGGCTAAGCATCTGACTCTTGATTTCAGCTCAGGTCATGATCTCACAGTGTGTGAGTTTGAGCCCCATATTGGGCTCTGTTATGACAGTGTGGAGCTTGCTTGGGATTCTCTCTCTCCCTCTCTCTCTCAAAGTAAATAAATAAACTTAAAAAAAAGCTCAAAAGTTTTCAGTCAGCATGCACAACTGTCATCAGAAGGACAAAGGTAGTTTTCACACTAATGTGTGAAAAATAGGAAATAGCTTGTTAATTAAGTCCCTAGTAAAAATTTTATTTACATTGAATGTAAATTACCTTGCAATTGCTAGTGGTCCACAACTAGGAAAAAGGAGAGCAAAAGAAAGACTGCCAGTTCCCTTAGGGGGACAAGGTAGAATCTAACATGTTGACTTCAATGATGGGAAGCTGGAGTTTGGAGATGTGGAGATGTGGGGCCAGCTATAAGGTGAGAAGGTGGAGTGGATGGTATAGGAGACTGTAGTTGGCTGTGCATTGGCAATGAAACCAAGTGCTGAGCCCAGATACAGATGACCATGAACAATATCTTTGGTGCACTGAAAGTGAATAACAGTGAGTGACATAAAGGAATGAAGGAAGGAAATTATCTCCATCATTTCCATTAATGTGATATATAAAAGTACTCCAAGAAAGCTTTTAAAAAGAAACCAATTATATTCACTATTACTGATAATAAAAAGACAGTTTATGAGGAAGCAAAGCCACATCTTAGAGCCCAAAGAATTGTTCCCTGCAATAGACAAATCAAGGACTGGTCTCACTCTCACAAGATGACACCCACTTGCCTTACTAACACTTAAGACATTGTTCCATGATGTCCCAGGACATAATGGTATCTCCTCTACTTCATCAGGGCTCAAACACTAGAATTGATTGAATCATACCTATCTATGAGATACAGAGCTACAAGCATTATGCTCCAACAGGCTAAAAAGGAAGCTTAAGGGCCTAAAAAAGGACTTCAGGGAGATCACCACTGAGCCAAACACTAACCATATTTGAAAGTATAAGCTATTCATTCAAGCTGCAGAGTTAGATGAGAAGTTTCTGGAAGTATGTTAGAGAACAACAATAAACAGAAGGCTAGGCCAGTCAGCATCGTTGTTTACAGGTAGCAGGAGGCTATCAGACTTTTCTCAAATCTCTATGACAAAGCCAAGAAAGCCTTTGAATGCAAGAAAAGGTAAAAACCAAGGCAATGTTCAGGCACCTGGGTGTCTCAGTCAGTTAAGCATCTGACTTCGGCTCAGGTCATGGTCTCACAGTTTCTGAGTTCGAGGCCCGTGTCAGCCTCTGTGCTGACAGCCTGGAGCCTACTTTGGATTCTGTGTGTGTGCGTCTGTCTCTCAAAATAAACATTAAAAAAAATTAAAAAATTTAAAAAACACAAGGCAATGTTCTCATGTGTCAACGCAGCTAACTCTAAGATATCTACCCCAGTGGTCTCTGAACACGTGACTTTGGGGAAGGAAAAAATATAAATGCAAATAAAAAAAAAGAAAAGATTTAAAGAATTTCCCCTCCTTTGACTTTCTAGTTCCTGAGAGCTAGCCCATTCAGTTTCCATAGCAGTGAGATTGGGGAGCATCACCTCCCGTTGCCACATTCTACCCGGGCAGGATGAAGAGTCAAAGTTCCATAAAGCCTTTTGTACTATTCTAACAAAGGCTTATACAGTGAGTAAGATTTTGCTTCCTTGGATGTGCTAGAGCCAGTTCTTGTCAGCCACCATTGGTGGCTTGAAATTGGCCCTGGTGGAAACATTTACACCATGGAAACTGGAAAACACTACAAATCAGGGCTTTCTTTTTTTTTTTTTTTT